AACAGGCTAGATTCGCCTCTCTGGGCACAACTTGCATGTCCAGCACCGAGCAGGGCAGTCACACCGGGAGCGGGGGGGAGGGGGGGAAAGGTGTAGGAGAAAGATTCACAACCAGAGTAAGGCTGTGGCAGTATCACCACCTTCCCCCTCCCTAGGTTGCTCTGCTGGAGTAAGGAAGCTTTAAAATCTAGCCTGGTTTGCACACAGCGTTGTCTGCAGAGGCTGCCTAGGAAAGATGCTGAATCAGCATCTCTCACAGCCAATCTGGCTCAACCTTCGGCTGGGTCGGCTTCCTCTCCCCCCACAGCTGCACTGGCTAGTTCCAGGTCACTGGCAGAACAGAGGTGACGGATGGTGTGGATTGTTTCCAGCAGGAACCTAGGGCATGGTTCTGGCCCAATATTGTATTTATTTGGATGTGACTATTGGACCAAAAACCCATACATGAAGACAAATAAAAACACAGTCCTTAACATTCTGCCTATCCTTGTGGGGATTTCCTTTGCTGCAGGATGAATTCTGGTGATATTTAGCACGTAATTCATCATCATCATCATGATAATAATATATTTGTTTTGCAGTGGCACCTAAAAGACCTCATTCAGAGATCAAGCCCCACTGCTCTAGGCACTATGCACACATATCATTAAAAGACAGGCCCTGCCTGAGAATGATTCTGCAACTAGATGCATGTGAGTGCCCTCTGCAGAACTCCCCTGACTTTGCAAGGGTCTGTCTGCAGTTAGGATTGAGACCTGAATAGCTGTCTTTCACATGACAAGGGAGATTTTCAGGCATCCATTCACTGTACAGGAGAAAGCTGTCACTCAAGTAAAGACATCTTGCATAATAGCAAAAGGAAATACATAAAGCTACTGGTTAAGCAAATTATTTCTCATCTATATGCTTTGGTATTTTCAGTGTGAAAATTCATTTCTAAAGCTACTTGCAACGCTGCTCAACTCTATCAGGTCCCATACAGCACTACAGAAGAGGCATACACCCATTAGGCCAGTAAAATATTGAGGGTCTGATTTTCCACAGTTACACTGGTTTTACATCACTGTGATTCCCCAGATGAAAGTGACATCACACACTGTGTAATGAAGTGGAGAATCAGGCCCTTATTTGTCTTTCTATATTAAACTAAATACCTTAAAAGTGAATCCAGCCCTGAGGTGGATTGGTGCTAACTCCATTGATTTCAATGGAGTTTCACTAGGGATGAATTTGGCCTTTGTTTTCTTTGGGTGAAATAGTGTGTTCATCTTTTAGGACCTTGCAAACACTTAGGGTTTGCCTGTACCAGGGTTTTTAACCTCAAGATAACTGATTGCCTATAAAGTCTAGGGAGTTAACATATTGGTAAAGGCTAGTGTGGACCCTCCACAAAGAAATGCTTGTACCACGACATAAGATTTTGTGGTCCATTTTAGGCTGAGCTCAATTCTGCATCAAATATTTGGGGAATGTCCACACCTGCTTTTACAAGCCAGTTAACTAAAGGTATAAACTCTGCTGAGTAGGAACTGTCTTTATTCTTTGTATCACACAGCACAGTGTGAAACAATTAACAAATGTTGCCACTAAACAAATAATAAATAAAAAATAATGGGGATTGTTCATCTTTATGCATTTGAGGAACAGAGTTTTTAAATGAAGATAAAATAATATATAGATGATATCAGAACTAATTATTTTAGGGGATTGCAACAGAATCTCAGCATAATGAGACAGTGTTTGAAATATATGTACGTTTCCAAGACACTCTATGAGACAGTATTTCACTACCTACAGTTTCAATCCATTTTGAAATGTCACTAATGTTTGACCGCCTTGTCACAGTTCTTTTTGATGGTTACCCCAGCGATATAAAATTTGTTAGTGGTTAAAAATGAAAATCTTTGGTATATTATTTCTGCTCTTTTCTATCTGATAGTCTGCTGATAAACAGCTTGGGCCAGATTCCCAGCTGGTATAAATCAACACAACTCTACTGAAGTCAGTGAAGCGGTACAGATTTACACCAGCTAAAGATTTGGCCTTTCCTGCCTCAAAACCCCCATATTTATTTGCTCTGTGGGTTTATGTTTGCTGAGCTGTGCTGCAAAGGCCTGACTGTGACACCTACATTTCTGGTGCACGTATCTCACTCACCACAGAGGTAGCTCTGAAATCTCTAGCGCTGTAAAAGGCAGTGCTGTCTGTGCATGTTCTAGTATCTTTTCTGAGCACAAAACCACAGAATAATTAAAACATTCACATATGACCCACAGGTAGCAAAATGCATTATATCTGACTAACATTTAGTACCCGTCCTTGCAGGCAATACATAGGTGGAGCTGATCAGCAGATCTTATATATATAATTAGAGCTAGTCCTGGGTACCTACAGAACCCACGGCCAAGAAGGACCCCCAGTTTGTAGGAGAACCTCAAATTTCACATGGGACCATGTGGTCTATAAATACTTCAGTGTGCTGATCTGTGCTAAAAGCAGGTTGAAGTTCAGCTTGTTTTCTGCTGGTTTACACTGGAAGAAGGGCCATTAGCCAGGCTCTTTCTCAATACCCACATGAAGGAAGGGGACAAAGGGGAGATCTTTGTCTCCCTCTCTATCCCAGTTATACGTAGGAGGGGAGATCTACCATCCTTGTCTGTTGACCTCATAAAGGGTGACTGAGCAGAGGTAAGGGGCTAGAGTAAACAGAGAGAGGAGAGACTGAAATAACCCTGAGCTCAAGGGATAACCACCCTGTGGCCCTTTAAGATCATGATACTAAAGAATCAAGGACAATACATAAATGGTTCTGACTAGCCTATGGAAAGCGATAAAGTAGAAGACTATTTTCCAGTTTTCTTATCAATAAACTGTGAACGATGGAGATAGAATAACAACACTGCCACAGGGTATGCAGAATTCTAATGATATATCCAGATGCCTTCAATAATGGTCTTACAGTTTTGGTGGCTTCCTCAGCAAGAGGCTGACAGCAAGATGACCAGAGAGCCCGATCCTAACCTCACAGCTCATGTGCTCTCTCTCACTGTTGTGTTCCCAAGGGCTCACATTTTGCATCGCTGGCCTCCCTCGGCTAACAGGTGTGAAAGCTGCTGGGTTCCTAATTCAAGATGCCTTACAATCCTATTTTGCTGAATCATGATGAAGGTCATCATATGACTTTGGGAAAACTTGCATCACTTCACTTTTCCCATTTGTAAAACGATGACAATGCCAACGCACAGGTGAGTTGCAAGGCTTAATTCACGCATATCTGTAAATGCTTCAAGGTCCTTTGAGACATTGCAGGCACATAGATGCTATGGTGGTGGGTAATTAAATAGCATAGTATATTAGCAAAATAGCATAGTATACTAGCTGAGAAACAAAAGCCAGAATTTAAACATAGTTTGTTCCAGATAAGTAAGCATGTATAGTCTACCTTAGACACACGTAGCAAGGAAGTGTGGTTTACACAGGGACTAATTATACAATAGGGGGCAAAACAATCTAGATCTGTTTTTTGAACCACAGACTTGTTACTTTGGGGCTGCTTTTAACCTGGCATTGAGAACATTTGTCACTACAATTTTTCTTCCCTGATAGTAAGGAACAACATGTGGGTAAAGGGTTACAGTAATATACATTTTTTTTCTTTTGAAATATAAAAATTAGACTTCAAAATTTTGTCAGGAAGAAATATTAGCGAACAGACAGCCTATACCATTGTATACTTTTATTTTTGGGGTAAAATATATTTTACTTTGGATATTGTTGGATATGACAAACAAAATGAAACTTTTAATTGATTTAGAAATAGGCATAAAATATATTAATGCAACATTAAGTTTGTAAATTAAAAGAGACAATCTATCAATTCCTCTCTACTGCTGATTTATGCGGGAGTAGATGGAACAAGTGACTGAAATCTACACTATGATGTGTATGCATCCGAAGAAGTGGGTTGTAGCCCACGAAAGCTTATGCTCTAATAAATTTGTTAGTCTCTAAGGTGCCACAAGTACTCCTGTTCTTTTTGAGGATACAGACTAACACGGCTGCTACCCTGAAAACTATGATGTGTGTGCTTCCACTTTCTCTTGGGGAAAAAAAAAGGTGTGGGGGATTTAGCTATATAACTGTTGTTCCTTTGTTTTCTGGGTATTGTATCTTTATAACTCTACAGACTCTGCTGTCTGCAGAGACAGGCAGCCATTTTATGTTCAGTTCAATAAAGCTTGTCATAAGAGAAACATTTGACTTTGCTATGGGTTTTCCCCTGTATTGTTCTCTTAATCTAAAATGAAGTTCAATATGACTGAGAGTGTCTGTTTTCTCTTTATGGACAGGAAAAACATAAAATGAGGCTCCAGTTTTAAATTAAACAGTGTTTTACTCACAGATCTGTGTCACTCTGGTCCAGAGACTCTACTTCAGCTTGACTTTCGTTATGGACAGAGTCAGATTCCTGCACTTGGCACAGTTCCTCATCTGTGATTATATCAAACACTGCATCATCTGGTGGTTTGGAGGTTTCATTTGTAACTGTGCCATAAAAGTACATCAAAAGAAACGCAGTCATAATGTAACAGGCAGCATCAGTGTTTTTATTTTTTAAACGGAGCTTATATACCTGGACCATTATTCTGCCTATACAGTAGTTTTCACATACTGCAAGTGCTAGAGGGTCTCTCCAGGGTGACTCACTTGCATTAAAATATACATGGCTATTTGTATCGATCTATCAATATTGACATATACTAACAAGCTCCACAACTACTCTGGGACAAGTTCCGCCTGGACTTACACCCCATTAACATCATTGGGGTTGCACAGAGTGTAAATTGAGCAGGATTTGACCACATGAATCCTTGCAGGAAGCCCAATAATCTCATTTATCTCACATTTGCACATGAAAAGAACTAACCTGTACCTTCCTGGGTCGGAGACACTGGTGAATTTAGCAGAGCTGGTGGTTCTTCTTGGCTGGCACGGGATCCAAAGTCATCCGTGTAATCCACGATCACCCTAGGTTTATTGAAGCAAGCTCTACAGCAACGCTCCTTCTTGCCACTGTGTTTGGTCATCATGTAGTTGTTACAGCAGTAATAGCAGAAAATGCGACCGCACAGTCTAGAAATTAAAAAGAACAAATGCAAAGGTATGAGAATGTTACACCGATGGCTTAAAAATAGAATTAGGTAAGGTGTGCATTGACAGTGCTTGGGGTTCTGGTCATAAAGGTCATGTACCCTGGGAAAGTATGAAGTTTTTTGTAGGTTACATGGCAAAAATCACAATGCAGACAATTCTGCCTTTTAAGATTCAGAAAGACTTACTGGATCGTGAATGTTCAGAGGAGCACATTTTTCCTTTATAGTCTCAATAAAAATAAATTACACGGGAACAGAAGTTTCCAGAGGGTAAAAACAATTAAAAATACAATTTACAAAGAAGACTACAACAAGTGAAGAACACATATTTAGTGATTTTCAATGGGCCTGATCTTGTTCCTATTGAAGACAATGGCAAAACACCCATTTTAATGGGAGTAAAAACAGGCCACGTATCGATATTCACTCAAACCATCCCTAACCTAAATCCTTCACTGCATAAGCTGCACAGCCTCCAAAAAAGGGAAGCAGCAGCAATATAAAATATTGATTTCTGTGAGTCAGAAAGAGAGCTACACAAGGCTATTTGGTCATTATAAGAATCAGTCAAATCGTTTTTTAATTGATTTGTTAAGAGTTTGTAGATGAAAAGCCCTCAGTTCAGTTTGCTGCTATTCATTAGGTTTTAATACTAGCTGTTTTTCATAAGTATTCAGACAACCACTGGGTATTGGTGAAAATGTTTGCAAGCTTCACAAACATTAGTAGAAATCATTCTTCATCTGAAAAATCATACTAGAAGTAAGTTATTAGCTACTAATTAATCACCACCCGATATTCACGACTTTAAAATGTCATTGATTAAGTGACTAATCACACATCATGAATAAAGAGTGAAACAGTCACAGGCCACCCCACCGCCTGAAATTTGTTCATCCAAACTTTGTGAATATATCTGGAGAAATCACAAACATGTAACTATTAATTCACAAATAGAAAAGGGTTAAAATTTGCAGCAAATAATTCAATCAACTGTCAGATTTTTTGAACAGGCCACATCAAAATCAAATCTTGCTATTTAGAGTCATTGTTTCTCAACATATCTTTTAGTAGTGAAAGTTATGTCTGTATAGAACCTAATTCAATGCGGCATCAATCCTGATTGGGTCAGTACTGTAATAAAATGATAATAGTACCATCGTACTGAACAATTTTTAAAAGCACATATACCAAGTGCGGACAGCATATAATATACATATTATAACAATGTATGTCTGGGAACAGTGTAAAATATTGAAACACTGGATATTTTATATGGAACCTATCATATTTATTTCCACGTTTTTAATAACATGTCATAGGTCAAGAAACTGACCTGCAGTGGTGTCGGCGTATCATCCAAGTAAACTCTCGCTGACAGCTCAGGCAATGATTTACTTCTGTGTCACCGAGCCATCTTTGCTCTTCACAGAGCTTCTGCTGAAATTCCAGTGCATCTGATTTCTGCCAAAGGGCATCCTTATCCCTGTGGAGACACGTGTAAAGAAGAGCAATCCATTTTAGAAACTTCACTGTTTGTTTTTAACTAATCTCAGCTCTGCTCCTGGAAGAAAACTCTATACCGTAAAGTGCTGTTATTTAACTCTGAAGTACACAAATCTGAAATCGCTCACTCCCTGCACTTTTAACTAAGTTACACCGGGATTTACAAATGTATATACACCACCAAAAGGTGTGATTGGCCTTTGCAGACAGAACCTCAGAATATAAGAAATGCCATACTGGATCAGTACCATGGCCCCAGTTCAGGAAAGCACTTAAGTGTGCACTTAATTTTAAGTTGCACTCAATGAGCAATGCCTAGAAGGCTTCAGTTGAAGGCACATTATTCTCCTTACTGCAGCGAGTTCTATCAAAGATATCCCAGAAGCACATCTGGATCAGACTGTAGCTGTAAGCCATGGTTTGCTCTGTGGGAGAGTGAGGAGAGCTGTCCTGCAGCTGACCCACCCAGAATTCCGCCTGGGGATCAGGTGTGTGTGTGTGTGGGGGGGTGCATGTCACTTGAAGTGTTCTGTCATCCTTTGAAAGGATGTGGTCGAGACTCCCTCTCGCATTAGTCCACCCTCAAAGGTTAGGTACAATCGTGTGGAATTTAGGCTTTCTGACGTGGATGTGCCTCAACAGCAAAAAAAGTTTTGCAGCACTTGAGGTAAACTGTCAAGTGAGACCTCAAACCACAAAGGCTAACAACACAGCGCTAACCATCTCACAACACCCATCACTACCTGACAGCTTAGTTCAACTTTTTGCAGCTGGGCATAAAAGCAGAATCTTACACCCTAGTTACAAGGGAGGTTGCACTGTATATTTGCCAAAGGGAAGGACTAGGAGTTAGGAGTTATAGTCTTAGCTCTGGCACTAACTTGCTCTGAGGTCTTGGTCAGGTCATTTAATCTCTGTTTCTCAGTTTACCAATCTGTAGAAAAATATGGTAATACTTATGTACATCACAGGGTGTATGAGGATCGATTAGTTAATGGTTAGACACTCTCTGAAAATGTTAAGTGATATCAAGGGCTAAGTATGTGAGCCAAACTTTGCTCTCAATTACATCTTCTTCTGGTTCCTCAGTATATAAGTTACATTAACTTAGACTCTCTTACACACCTGTAAATAGCTGTAATGAGATCGAAGGGATTCTAAATTAGCATAAGGGAGTCTTCATTTATGCATCACCTGTGAATCTGACCTCTGGAAAGAATCAAGAAGTGAGAAAGAAATGCTACCTATCTTGACCCTACTGTATTGTTAGTCACCAACACCATCAGATGCAGGAAAGGTAATAAAGAAAGGATTTCATTTTTTTTCAGTGATTTCACAGATTTATGTCTTCTTGCACTTTAAAAACAGATGTCAGCTGAGATCATAACTCCTTGGAAAGGCCAAGAAAACAGACATTAATACGAAAACCCACATTCTCTTGTATGATTGAACAATACCAAAAGCTTCTGTGCGTCCTGATCAGAAGAATGTGCTAATGCCCTGGCTGTGTACTATGAGCTAATAAACTTTTGAAAGTTGTGACAATATTTGGAAGAGAAATATCTGCTATAGGTTTCTCAGATTAAAAGGAGGCAAGAACTCCAGTATTAGCTCCTACTCCTGAACCAGATTCAGGAAGATAGAGTGGCTCAGGAAAGGAATGACACAGTTAAAGGAACTTCTTTGTAGAAGGATCCTCTGATGAACAGTTTATGTCTAAAGCTGCACTGGGTTTTCACTCTTCATCTAGTAAAGGTGGAGAGGTTTCTGCAGCACGCACAAGCTTTTGCGTGAAGACAAGAATACATAGATCAGAAGTGAGACCACTGTTAGTACTTGGTTGCTATTTAACAAATGGTTTATTTTGTAATGGCACCATTAACCGTAATTTAACACCATTAACCGAAGTAGCTGCACGTCTGCAAGTTATGTCTGCATGTCTGCAGCACTTGGCTTGCTGACAGACAAAACCGTCCATTTTTTAACATAAACCACAATCTGTATTTGTCTTCTTCACTCCAGAATTGTTATGATAGACATAGAGAGCCTACAGGAGTCTTCCTTCAAGAGGAAGGCCGGTCTGTAGTTAAGACACAGGACTGGGACTCAGGAGAGCTGGGTTCAGTTTACAGCTCTGCACCAGATCGCATGTGTGACCTTGGGCAAGTCACTTGGGGCCAGATTTTCAAAGCTGCTAAGCTTTCCTTTAGTAGTTAAACAAGGGCTAGATTTCCAAAAGGGATGCATCCAGCAGCTCCTGTTGTGACATTTGTCAGCACCCATTAACTTTAATGAATCTGCACCAATTTAAACCAGCTGAGCGTTTGCCTGTTGGGTTTGCTATTTAAAGGCTGATCACACTGGGCTCAATCGTGGGCCAGACTATGGGCCAGGACAGAGGATTAAGGTAGGGTTACCATACGTCCGGATTTTCCCGGACATGTCCGGCTTTTGGGGGGCTCAAATCCCCGTCCGGGGGGAAATCCCCAAAAGCCGGGCATGTCCGGGAAAATCGGGAGGTC